TTGGAAACCATCCATTGCCATAATGCTACTAGCACTAAAACAATGGATATAACGCACAAGCGCCCATAACGGGACTTCTTTCCATACATTGTCAATATTGCTACATAGTTAACACAATATCACAACATCCTCAAATAGTTCAGAATGTCTTCTAATGTAACTGAGTAATGGTTCTTAACGGCACAACACCTGTGACAGTTATGAATTACCCTTCATTTTGACGTGGAAGTAATGTTAACGGAAATCACTTACACCTTCATTCAGCTAGTGGAATAATCCATTTCACGATAAGGTAAATCTCAATCGTATATTATTTATTTGTTCACGAGGATAATAGTATTTTTATCGATTTTTAGTATCTAACATCCCTCGATATGATCTGTTAAATAATCGGACCGTGCGACACATGCCATTTGTTCCGACTGCCGTTGCGATAAGGACGTATAAGTTAAATGTAGAATTAAAGGCTTGTATAACAGTAAAGTTCATAAGCTTTGGAATGGATTTTATGAAATGTATAATGATAATAAAAAGGCCTACAAACGAGTTGTAATTGAACGAGCAGAACTTTAGTTATGACACTACAATTCATCTTCACAATGTCAACTTTGACGAACTTCGTCTAATACCTTGACTGACTGCAATAGGCTCTATTCTTGTATCGCAAAAGTTTGCAATTGAAGCTATTTGATTGGATTGTATGCAAGCGAATAAAATTCCTCGACAGAAATCTGAACACAAAGCTAAAATGTCTACAGTTTATGTGTCAAGGGTTTTGGTTGGCTGTATCCGCTAACATTCCGTGTTACGAGAAAATTGGCTATTGCAGTCAAGGTATAAGATGAAGTTTGTAGTTGCTTGACATTGTGAAAATGACTGCAACTAAGCATATTTTGGTTAGTTCTCCTTAAATGACCATGAAAAGCGCACTCTTCAATGAAAGGCCCATATATAGGTCTATATTCCTCTACTTAAAGTGATACTACATCTTAGGATGACCAAAAATAATAAGAGGACTGTATCTGTAATGTTACAATAGTTCTATATCTATAATTTGTTTTGATAGTTTTAAAACAGTAATAACAGGACTGTATCTATTGTGTTTTGATAGTTTTAGATCTATAATTACAGGACTGTATCCATTGTGTTTTGATAGTTTTAGATCAATAATTACAGGACTGTATCTAGTGTGTTTTGATAGTTTTAGATCTATAATTACAGGACTGTATCTAGTGTGTTTTGATAGTTTTAGATCTATAATTACAGGACTGTATCCATTGTGTTTTGATAGTTTTAGATCAATAATTACAAGACTGTATCCATTGTGTTTTGATAGTTTTAGATCTATAATTACATGACTGTATCTAGTGTGTTTTGATAGTTTTAGATCTATAATTACAGGACCGTATCTATTGTGTTTTGATAGTTTTAGATCTATAATTACAGGACTGTATTCATTGTGTTTTGATAGTTTTAGATCAATAATTACAGGACTGTATCTATTGTGTTTTGATAGTTTTAGATCTATAATTACAAGACTGTATCCATTGTGTTTTGATAGTTTTAGATCAATAATTACAAGACTGTATCCATTGTGTTTTGATAGTTTTAGATCTATAATTACAGGACCGTATCTATTGTGTTTTGATAGTTTTAGATCTATAATTACAAGACTGTATCCATTGTGTTTTGATAGCTTTAGATCAATAATTACAAGACTGTATCCATTGTGTTTTGATAGTTTTAGATCTATAATTACAGGACTGTATTCATTGTGTTTTGATAGTTTTAGATCTATAATTACAGGACTGTATCCATTGTGTTTTGATAGTTTTAGATCTATAATTACAGAACTGTATTCATTGTGTTTTGATAGTATTAGATCAATAATTACAAGACTGTATCCATTGTGTTTTGATAGTTTTAGATCTATAATTACAGGACTGTATCCATTGTGTTTTGATAGCTTTAGATCAATAATTACAGGACTGTATCTATTGTGTTTTGATAGTTTTAGATCTATAATTACAGGACTGTATCCATTGTGTTTTGATAGTTTTAGATCTATAATTACAGGACTGTATCCATTGTGGTTTGATAGTTTTAGATCTATAATTACAGGACTGTATCCATTGTGTTTTGATAGTTTTAGATCTATAATTACAAGACTGTATCCATTGTGTTTTGATAGTTTTAGATCTATAATTACAGGACTGTATCCATTGTGTTTTGATAGCTTTAGATCTATAATTACAGGACCCTATCTATTGTGTTTCGATAGTTTTAGATCTATAATTACAGGCCTGTATCCATTGTGTTTTGATAGTTTTAGATGTATAATTACAGGACCGTATCTATTGTGTTTTGATCGTTTTAGATGTATAATTACAGGACCGTATCTATTGTGTTTCGATAGTTTTAGATCTATTATTACAGGCCTGTATCCATTGTGTTTTGATCGTTTTAGATCTATAATTACAGGACCGTATCTATTGTGTTTCGATAGTTTTAGATCTATAATTACAGGACTGTATCCATTGTGTTTTGATAGCTTTAGATCTATAATTACAGGACCGTATCTATTGTGTTTCGATAGTTTTAGATCTATAATTACAGGACTGTATACAGTTTGTTTTAGTGCTAGTTATGTTTCTTTTTCTAAAAATATATATTCATCTGAAACGATCCCATAGCTGCAACACAAGTCATCCTTTGAAATAAAATTCTATACCTTGAAAGTGATAAAAATTCTGAGTGGATTGTGTCTGCAAAAGATGGCCATGGGCTATCAGAATATTGATCTTGTCACTGGTAATATAAAAATAATAACCTGGTAAAAAAGGTCATTAAGTGTCATTATGATTATAATCATTTAAAAAAAATAAAGATATTTACATACAGGTCTCAATATAAATATGCAAATAATTGTCATTATGATGTTCATCTACATAATTTACAGTTATTATACATAATTATTTTCATAAATACACATTTTTATGATTTTAAGTCTGTAAAGGTAATATTTCAAGTGAATTAGCAGACCTCAATGGTGTTGGAACTTTGAGATCCATTATCAGTGATGTACTAGAAAAAGTCTGAAGACTGGCAGAGATTTGATATTTGTTTAAAGGGTGTGTAAAAAGGTTTTCTGAATATATTATGTGTATCAGGGGCACTGATAACAATTTGCACCATTCCATGATGACATCATTAATCGCAAAATTTGCTTTAATTACATAAGGTCATCAAACACTTAGCTTTAGTAGAATTTCTAGAACCACAGACGTCTGATTGACAATTGGAATTGTGGCAAATTGATGCTATCAGTTTCCCTGATACACAAACAATTTTTTAGAAAAGTTTACAATCCCTTTAATGTTATTTAGATGCGTCCAATTTTCGGAGATTTAAAAAAAATATAGAAATTGAGAATAAGTGGAAACACAGCTATTGTCTCTGTGATTAATTTGACATTTTTAAGTCTAAACCTAGCAATAATTTCCATCATTATATATGCTTAAAATTGGCTAAATACCAAAACTTTGGCAATATTTTAAATTTTATGTCATTTTCATTCTATTTCTGATATCAACAGGGAATTTATTGATGTCATTAAAGTATGTCTGCTAGACAGGACATAAACAAATTATAACAAATGTCCAAATGTCACTTTCCATCTTAAAAACAACTATAGCACAATATTTTTCACCAATTCAGGTTATAATTTGACAGAGGCCAAAACACACTCTTCAGTATTTGTATGGATTCTTCTAAATAAGCTGGATAATGCATCATTTATCAACTTGATCATACATGTGTTGCAGTCTTATTAAAATTTGGTCGTTTTTTTTTTTTTTAAATTTTTTAATTAGCCTTTATTTTTAATATGGCCCTCTCGAACATTTATCATATTACTTTTGGTCCTTTGACGTCTGCTTCAACCATTTAAATTTCACCTGAAGATGACAATGTAGATTTTTGAAACTTAGTGTGTAATAAAACTAAGGAGTAGTATACCATAAAATTGTATCCGTTATTTAATTCAAATTTCTCACCTCTCAAGCACTGGCATTTTGTCTTTATCAGGTTAAGTCAAAAGGTTAATTTGACAAAAGTTCAAGTGGGCTGTCGTTAGACCCTAACAGAAGTGGCTATATTAAAGAAGAGAAAATTTGAATTAATAAAGAATTAAGTGCAGGCGTGGGAGAGTCTTTGAAAGGTTTCATGGATGTTACCAAAATGATTATTTCCAACTGAACAAACCATTTGATTGAAATTAAGATGATATCAGATTAATAATGACTATATTCATCATATATTAATGATATCAGTGGAATTTATCTTCTATTGATGTATTGATACAACAAATAATGTTATTAGCATAACTAATTAACCATGTCATTTGTTAATGACAACAACCATTTTGTTAATGACAACATTCCCATTTAGCCATTTTGAAATTATCAGTACTATTGAGAACATAGAAAAGAATAAATTTCATTTCTAAATGTACAAGTTCCTTAAAATTTTTAACTTCATTCTTTTTATTAACAAGTTCTTAAAGGCAATGGTTCACCATTTTCGCAGGTTGAATTGGGTTTTCAAAATATGTAAATGTACTGCACAAAAATCACATAATTTTCGACACATATGGATTTGAAGGCTCAAATTTCGACGCTGAGCTGTGAACACTATTACTGATTAGCATAGCTATAAAAATTCCTGTTTCTGAGACTAAGGTCAAACGGATGGTGAATCTGTCCCTTTAAGTCTGCAATCCAAACATGGTAATACATCACTATGTCAGAAAGTTTATGGGTCTCAATATCAAAATTAGCTTTTGAGTGTCCACACTCCTGCAACACCTAATGACACTTCACTACTGGGTTCGCCATCTTGGAATCCCTGTGATTCAACATAGCTGATAATGTTTAGACCAGGAAATAAAACCATATTCCATTAAAACTATGAACATTTCTTTGAAAAAAAAAAATTTTCTTTTATTTTGTTAAAAAAGCAGCCATAGGATCTTCAAGGCGTCGTTTTTTCATTAAATATGCCTGCATTTCTTCTTCTGTGGGTTCCTTCGCTTCAAACATGCTGTTATATGGTCGCTTTCTTTCATCTAATGCCATTAATTTCTCAATATCTCGGTTGTGTGCATCTTCTTTCTTCAAAGCCTGCAAAAATAAAGTCATATGCTAGTTTTCCTTACATGGTGCAAGAAAAGTAGGATGTTAAATTCCATTCATTTCATTTCATAAATAGCGTTCAACAAAAATCCTGTATATATAAAGGTTCATATCTTTCATTTTTCAACCATTTATAAAACTCCTACATATAATTTACATAATAATCATACAACCATCAGTATATTTTATTAAATTTTTTTTTTTTTGCTGAAACATGTGGCCCAATAAATGTTTTCACACAGAGTAGGCTATATGTTAATTTTCAATGAGAAACTCTAAAAGTGCTCTGACATGATTCATTGGTCATCATTATGATGTAGCACATATGTCACAATTAAAACAGTTTCTACATCAATTTATCTTGAATCTTCCTAATGTCAAGCTATAACAAACTTTTTACTTATACATTGAGTGCAATAACCACTATTCTTGCATCACTGAATGCAGAGATCTGATAGGATTGTAGGCTAGGGAATCAAGCCAATCAGAGCCCTCAACAGAAAGCCTTAGGCTGTAAGCATTATGACTTTGTATTCACAGACTTTCTGTCTAGGCCTCTGATTGGCTGTGTATGCTAGCATATAATCCAATCAAACCTCTGTGATACAAGAAAGAAGGCTATTGCAGTCAAGATATAAGTATAATAACTTGACATAGCAAACGTGAATTTATCTACACATCATACCTTCTTCAATTTTTCTTCAGAATCATCTGATTCACTACTATCACTATCAGAATTATCTTTATTTTTCTTCTTCTTCTTTTTCTTCTTCTTTTCCTTTTTCTTTTTCTTCTTTCGTTTCTTCTCTAGATCTTCATGATGCAACTGTAATGGAAGAATTGTCCTAAAATCAATCATAGATTCAAAACTGGAAGTCCATGAAACCAATATGCCTAGAGTTATAGAGCCATCTGAACATTTGATTTATTAGAATCAACAGTCATCATTTCATCAAGACCAGGGTATCATCTGTTAAAACTGTCTGTAAAAATATCAGTTTTAGAAAGTAGTTAGAAATCCCATTAATCAGATGCCACGTTAGTTAGACCCTTAAGTCAGACATCCCATTAGTCAGACACCACATTAGTTTAAGACATCCCATTAGTCAGATGTCCCATTCGTTAGACATCCCATTTGTGAGATGTCCCAGTATTTAGACATCCCATAAGATAGACTTTCTATTAGTCAGATGTCCCATTAGTTAGACATCTCATTAGTTGGACAATACAGAGAATACTCTATTTGTCTAGACAAACTGACAAAGACAACAGAAATTTAATGATATTCTCATTAAATATATAGAATCTAAGTTAGAAATATTAAAACAGAACTCAGAGTTTCACCCTATGTGATTTTTTAATATTTCTATATCTCTCTACAGTTGATATAATGCGAACTATTTCAACAGTGAAAATATTTTATTATTGTAAAATCACAGCATGAAACTCTGTGTAGTAACATGATTCAAGTTCTGTTTTAATATTTTTATTTTTACAATCTAAGTTATAAAAATTCCATATTCTGTCCTCTGTGAATTTTGAAAATGAGAAATTGAACTTATTCATTAAATGTACACAAAATTTATGGAACTTAATAATATAAATTAAAATAGTAATTAATTTAGATAAAATCCATATTCAAAAAAATAGAATTATGGTCTATTGAAACGAGTTCTAATGAAAGCATTGGCCTAGGTCACAGAGTAGTATAAAATCGTACAGCGTAAAACAACATGCTTCAGGTTCTGTTCTAATATTTCCATGTGAAATATTTGAAGTATTGAGATCATATTTTGTTATTGTATATTAATCCAACTTACTTACTGTGTATAACATTATTGTTATCATTATATCATATTTATCAAATCTTATCTAGACTATTCTATCTTAAAGTCTCAGGTTACAGGCATGAGGACTAGTATATACTCAATTGTTATAAGCTGTCTAACTCAACACACAATGGGCTGGGACAATTTGAAAACTTACAGGAAAAAGTCCCTAAAAAATTACAAACTTCAGAACAGTCAACCTCTAACGGAGAGTTACAAGACCATTTTGTTTTCAAACGTTTTGTGCAGCGTCTATGCGTTTTTATTTCGCTCAAGAAGATGTTACAACAATTGTATGATGACCTTCTCTATCCTATGGCGCTCTCAGCAAGTTGCAGAATAAAGTCTGTGAATTATGAGTGAAGATGACTTATTCTGGGTCATTGGAATTTCAGACAGCTGTCATTTGCTTGACGTAACCAAGTAAATGATGTCATGTAAAGAATCAATATTCTAACCGACCGTGTTAAAGAACCTCACAATTACCATTTGGTATAGTGTAAGGCACAGAGTAGACTACTAATGACAAGATCATTAGACATTTTTACCAGATAATTAGCAGATAATCAGGTAATTATATTACCACACACTGATTGATGGCTTTATATCTTAATGGACACCATTTTGACTAGCTTTTTCTATATCAACACTCGTCAAGGTGGGATTTACTATCTAATACAATCAACCATGTCCAGATGTGCATAAGTGTTGTCAAGCAAAAACATTTTTGTACATTTCGGTCTGATTTAAACCTAAACCTGAATTACAGTGTAATTCTAGGATTAATTCTACCAAAATGTTTTGGATTGGGTCCAAAATATTGCAAAAGTATCTTTGTTCCACTATAATTGTTTCTACTAAGGGAAAATGCTAACTGTAAGTGTGCTTTGACTGCAAATTGCAGAAACCTTTATGATTCAGGAACCAAATACCATTAAGCTAGCTTAAAACCGGCTTTCACTTTGTTCATTGCAGGCTAAAGCCAGCTTTCAGAGACTAGGGGTACAAATAGGGGGCAGACTGACTTGATGGGGGACAACTGTCTAGGTTGAATTCAAAATGCTGCAAACTCTTTGGAGCTGTCACAGTCACAAGCCTCTCATAGAGCATTTTGAATTCAGCCATGACAGTTGCTCCATCGTTTCAGTCTGCCACAAGAAAAATTGGATTGATTTAGTGATTTCTAGCCCATTTTTTGGAGCAAAAATGTATACAAATAATATTTTATAGATTTGCCTAAAATGAAGTGGGGGTTCAAATGCCCCCCCTGTACCCACACTGGTGCCACCACTTGCTTTATCTCGTTCAGCAATAGGCATAATAGTATTTCTGTTTTGTTTTCTTACTGGTTGTCAAATGTGCGATTTTGTGACTGAGGCTAAAGTCGTTCCGGAACCAGTTTAACTCAGTGTTAACACAACGCTTGTAGCCAGCTTTACTTTAATATTCTCAGTGGCAACAAGGTTTATATTGGTGTAGATTATAGTTTGTTTTCAAACATGAGAGTTTTTGTAAGCAATAATCTTACCTCCATTAAAGATTTAGGTGTTTCTTCCGCATCATATTCTTTTTGTTGTTGTAACATTAATTCCTTACTTGACTGGAAAGTAGAAAATTGAGAAATTTAGGTACAACTTAACTATATATACTTCAATGTTGTAAATTGATACCTAAAGGCTTGATTAATAGCATGTCTGAGTTGTTGGATAAACATAGTAATTGTATCAGACAAGTCATTTAAAATCCTATCAGCAATTGAAAGAGAAAGAAACAACTATATTTTGCAAGGATAACAACTTAGGTTCACAGTTAAGGATCCTTTCGACCAGCTGGTCCTTAGCCAAACCTCTTGGCATTGATCTTTACGGAATGGATTATTCGTACCCATTTACAACTTGGTCGACTGGAATTATGAGTGAAGATGACTTATTCAAGGTCATCGGACTATCACACATCGATCGAGAATTGAACTCACAACCGCCATTTGCTAGACGTAACCAAGCAAATGATGTTATGTTAAGAACCAACGCTCTAACCGACTATGCTATAGAACCTCAAGGCAGATAGTAACTAAATTTATTTCTGTGATATACTCTGCACAAAAATAATGAATAGAATTTTTGAAAACACTTTAGGATTGTAGTTCTGCACTTTTCCATCTTCGCTAATCATGTCTGGTTGGAGCTTAAAAATGTCCATTCAAGATTTTGGAATAATCTTATTTTTAGAGCCATTTGATTCTGTATGCAAAATAAAAATAAAAGTAGACAAAATTAAATCTTTGCCTACTTTAGTACCTAGCTGCAAAAGCCCTGATTTGTTGATATCTAAATTTGTTGAATTTGCTTGAATTAGTCTATCTGAAACCATCTTCACAATGTCAAGCTATTACGAACTTCATCTGATACATTCACTACAATAGCCACTATTCTTGTATCAAGGAAGTTTGTAAATGCAGCAATTTGATTGGATTGTACGAACCAGAATACAGTCAATCAGTCTGCCTGTCGAAGGCTCTCATTTTCTGTAATTCCTTCATTATGTGATACAAGAAAGTTGGTTTTTGCAGTCAAGGTATAAGATAATGTTTGTAATAGCTTGACATTGTGAAGATGTACATAACAAAGTTTGATGATGAAAATCATGGCACGAGAAACATCAAATTTCCAGTATTTCTGGTTAATGATAAAAGGACTAAACTTACCACTGAAGCTTGTTTGCCAGCCTCACCAGTACAATAGGATTCTTTAACTAGAGAGTGACAACAACTAAAACCCCATTGACCATTAAACCAATAGGAACCCCATACACTCTGTCAAAATATAATAACATAATATAGATTAAATTATTCAAATGAAGGACTTTCATTCTGAAGTGTGACATTTTTGGCTGTGATAAATGGCAGGGAAATAACTCAGTTGATATTGAATGCTATTGTCGTCTGCTAGGCAATTTGATGCTGTTTTCCTCCTCATCGTGAGAAAAATCATAATGCAACATCCAGTGCATCCATAAGTCAGTCTGATGTTGGCTTTCAACACTATTACTAAATTCATTTCAGCACATTTGCGATATCAAAATTTAGAAATTAACTTTTCCTTTTAGGACGATAATTGTTACTCAGTTTTGTAGAAATTCTCACATTAGTTTCAGCATCCCTATGCTTCAAACCATAGTTCATGGCATGCTACATGCCACCTGTTTGATCCAGCCTTAGAAAATGAAATAAAATGGATGGAGTTTTACGTCCTACTTTTCTGCACCATGTGGGCTGATGACGACAGGCAACACCATGTAGGGAGCAAAGAGGGAAATTTTGCAAGGAGAGCGGCATTAGCCTGCTCTCTTTTGATATCCAACTGTCAACATGCACAGTATGTAGCAAACAGGGTCTAAATTTATTGTCCGATCTGAACGACTAGAAGCTTTTTCCATGTCAGTCCCTGTTACCTGCATCACTGACAGCCTCAGAAGAAAGACTATATGAAATATAAAAATAAATACCTACTGTATGATTATTAATATGTACATCTTCTTCATAACGTGATTTAATGGCTACTTTTTCTTGTCCTTTTATCACAGAACCATGTCTAGAATATTCTACATAATTTTCCTAAAATCATAAAATAAACGTTGTTAATCATATGTGAAAATATTTCTTAAATTTCCTTGGTGACTGCTTGAAACTTTGTATATGCCATATTTGGTTTTTGACTTTTACCGTTCGAAAGCTCGTAAAGGCGTGGATCTTGTGATCAAAACCTCGTATTCTCAGCTTGATTGTAAATAACCCAAAATCCACCAATTAAATAACACGTATATAAGCAGTCAGATTTAAAATATTAAATTATACGAGGTTCAATCAAAAAATAATAAAAAAGATTTCATCTATTTTTTTTGCGTTTTTCTCCAAAAGTGATTTTGCGTCATATATTTACGTGGCTTCAAGCGGTCACCCACGATATGCTTTCTACTACTATGTATCTACTTGATCAACCTGAATTTGTTTCGAAAGGGTTAATACCCCATTATTTGAACACTTAAATTTTCTGACCTAGTAAAACACCAGACCCTTTAAATAAAAATGTAAACTTACAGTTTGAGCTAGTAATAATTCCTTGGGTGGAGCTTCTAAATGTTCTTCTCCACCATATTTATCTAATATAGATTGCTTAGCAGTTTCTTTAAATGTATCTTTCCTCTGAATGAACTCTTTTTTTAATAAGGCTAGTTTAGTAGGGTCTGCCTGTATATGTACATCAACACCTCTTTCATAAGCTTCCCATGCAAATACTGAAATATATGATACATAGATATTTTTATAACATGCATAGATGTCAATTGTGTTTCAATCCAGGACTGTTTAATTATTTTTTTGTCAGTCGGACATTTTTCCATTTTTCAACGACCAGTGAAATTTGATCTGAATTTCACCTTGAGTGTAGGTCTATTATATCATAGCCTATTGTACCAGTATTGTCATGATGTTTGGCAAAATAAAGGTCCACTGTGTCATTAAACCAACAATTTTACTTTATCACTAATTATAATTACTCTGCCAGGCAAATCACACCAAATTTCATAGGCATCATAATTATGTATCTTAGTGTCGACCACCAAATTTTTCAAGAGATAGTAAGACAATTTAAGTCTTTTAGTCAAGCATTCAATACTATTCTCGCCAGAGTACAAACTTACTAACGCAAAAATTGACACCCACGTATGAGCTTTAGATGGTCTTGGGGAAATTGTGGTGCTTTCACACAGTCAATCAGGGAGGAAAATGTTGATGAAAAATGGCGTTATATTTTTTTTTTTAATTGATTTGGGTCTTGAATGTGCTTTGATAGGCTTAAGAAGTACTAAACGCACGAAAATCGCATAATCCCTTCAAATATACCTCAAACTAGAAATTTCACTGTCTATTTCTATATATGTGTTTTCTATAATATGGAATAGTCTCACTAGAATTCGAGTCAAATTCTTAATTTTCAAACCTGAATAATTATGGATACACATGGATTTGAAGGCTCAAATTTCGACGATGAGCTGTGAACACTATTACTGATTATGTTAGCCAAAAAAATTCCTGTTTCGAAACTAAGGTAACGGATAGTGAAGGTGCCGCTTAATCTAGCTTGTCAAATAAAAACCAATAGTCCAATAAAATAGAGTTCAGAAACTTACATTGTTCTTTAGACATTTCATAAGCATCACCAGAAACTCTGACAAAATTATCACCAGCATAGTGAAGACTGAAAAATATCATTGAATTGTTATTAATATCAACATGAACGCTGTAATACCTAATTCCCACTCTTCTGCTACTCATTAAACGAATGAAGACAATCAACATCATGCAGTGTGCAATGAAGGACATTTTACAATGACATTGGCACTAATGTTTTTTCATCTTGTCCTTAATTGTGCACAATCTTTACCAAGTTTATAGTCTCAATCAAATATCTAGATGTTTTTTTCCAAGCCAAGACTTAAACCTGCATCACTGACAGTGGGAAATCAATTTAAGAAATGTAAAGAATATTCCAAGATGCCCAACAAGCATCTTATTCAGTGAGTAACCATAACTGTCTAAAAAGTTTTGGACTCTGATGGTGAGACCAATGTCAAATACTGAAGTCTTACTTACTCTGCCTTGTCTTTACCACTATTCTCAAATGGATTCTGTCTCATAGATCTGGTTTTAGGATCATAAAAAGCTGAATTCAAATCTAAATTGTATAAATACTGAAAATAAAAAAAAAAAATGTAAAAATCAACTTGATTGACTGATATCAAAGCCAGACTTCTACCAATGTAAACAATGTACTTACTTTGGCAGTATCTTCTCTTATTCGTAAGTTTCTAACTGTAATTCTTTGTTTTGTTTCAAATTTCTGACCAGGCATCAACATATCATCAGCATACTTATCTTCATCATCACTAGCTACTTCCTAAATATATATAATACACAAGTCAATATCAATCAAAAAAACCAAAATGATAATTCCCATAACATGGATGAAATTAGGACCCTGGGACTGATTTAAAATAAAAATTCTAAAATGTACAGTTTCACAGCAATGGTAAATTTTAATTGTAAGATATTCATGAACAAGCCTCTGAACCTTACTTAGTTAATGAAGCAATGATCACTGAAGCAAAGATGGCAAGAACAGCATACATTTCATCCACTTGATCAGATCTTGCTAAGTGATTAGCATTGCTTTTCTCTGCTTTTTTGATCTTGTATTCACATTTTATATAAATGAATATTGTTTTTCCCTTTTTTCATCAGAATCACCTAACATTATATAAAAGCATTCCAAAAACAAACAGACTTACAGCATCATCTTCATCTTTAGCATCTTCATCTTTAGCACCCTCTCCTGCTTCTATCCCTGCATCTAATTTCTGTTCTTTTAATACCCGTTTTGCCTGTAACATAAGTTAAATATGACACATATTAAATGATATAAACTAATTATCATGTTTGTGTACAATCAAAACGAAATGAATAGGTAAACCTCTGAAATGATTCAGTAGAGTCAACTTTGATAAATTTCAAGAATGAAGCCCATCGGCAAGTTAAAGTCTGATGATCTCGAATAAGTCAACTTCACTCATAATTCCAGTCGTAAATGGGTACAGATAATCTGGGAAAGATCAATGCCAAGAGGTTTGGCCAAGGACCAGCTGGTAGAAAGGATTCTTAACTGTGAACCTAAGTTGTTATCCATTGGAAAATATAAGCCCAGGTTAAGGTTTTCCAAATACAAAAACCATATCAAGTAGTGCAAAAACAAGCTAAAAGTGCCCTGTTACAGATATGTGGTCTAATATCTCTCTTTAATCTGAGCAATATACTTACTAGTTCTATTTTATTATGTTCTTCAAATAACTTCTGTCTATGTTCTTCTGTATTAATACCATTCCATCTGTCTCTCTTACCTTCATAATCAAAATCTAGATTATCTTGAATATATTCATCAGGAGCTATAGATTCACCAGTATATTTAGCTCCTACCTTTCTTGGCCTCTGTCAAAACATAAAAACAGCATGAGTAAAAATATTTCAATAGATGTATATTTACTACTTACTTATCTGCCCCTGTTTGGGTTATGGAAATGGGAAATTTTGCCAAAACCATAGTAGAAGCTTTTTTGATTTTGCAAAATGTCAAAGGAAGTTTTTGGACAGATTTTAAACAATTATAGTACGCGATTATAAACAAGTCTTAAAACTGACCTCCAGACAATCTTTCTTTTTGTGTGTCATTGCTCCACAATTTTCACAAGCACCTTTACGAAATTTAGTAGCAACAGGACCCTATATAAAACATAAATTCAAAATAAAAGAAACATATTCAACTAAATCACATTTATCAAATCACATGATGCCATTCTGCAACTGGATTTCTTCAGTGTGGCGCTTGATAGATGAGTTTTGAACAGATTCCGTCAGATTTCAATTCTGGCCTAAATCCAACTGTACCCAACTAGGTTTAATATGTCACATTCAAAATTTATCCTTATAGTCCTGCTCTCCGCCATTTTGAAATCTGTCTGCACCTACAATTTCTTTTGCACAAGTGGAACTTGTTCTAATATCTGATCCAACTTGTTTTATTGAACTCAAAACCGAGCGGCCCCCAAGTTTAAGCTTACTTATTTAAAATGTTTAATAGAGAATGTTAATAGATATATATATTTTAGAGATATATTAATAGCAAATCTACAACTTACGTCTTTGATTCCTTTCTTATACCATTCATTCATAGTACTATATGATTTATGTTTTTCTTCTTGTGGTCTCTGATGTTTTAATGTTGCTGATGTAGAACCATAGTACCATGGTGCTTGCATGATATACTGAGGTATATGTGGATTTATATCCCTAAAAAATGATAAAGCAACATTGAAGAGGAGAACATCATAACACATCTTATTATCAAAGAAAACATCATAACACATCTTATTATCTCATTATAAAGGGAACACCATAACCTTATTATCTTATTAAAACGGGAACATCATCACACATCTTATTATCAAAGAGAACATCATAACACAACTTATTATAAAGAGAACATCATAACACATCTTATTATTAAAGAGAACATCTTAACACATCTTATTATCAAGAAGAACATCATAACACATCTTATTATTAAAGAGAACATCATAACACATCTTATTATCAAAGAAAACATCATAACACATCTTATTATTAAGAAGAACATCTAAATATATTCTATCTTAAACACAACATCATAATGCATCATATCATCTTTAAAGGGAACATCATAATGTACCTTATCATAAAAGAATAGGATAATACATCTTAGTAGCAAACAGAACATCATAATGATACATCTTAGCATCAAGAAACACATCATAGATTACCAAAAAGAACATTGGTTCCTACCTTCCTTCTTCATCTTGCATAGCAGGTGCTGTACCAGCTTTTCTCATCTCATCTAATTCTTTCATTTTTTTCCAATCCTCTCTGGATTGTTTCTTAGGACCATCATCACCTTCCTCAGATTTGGCCATCTTTGCCACCATTGAAGGTGGTAGATTGGCCTGGAAGGTCATGTTTGGTTTTTTTTTCTTGGACTTTTTCGTCAAAGAATTTTATTTGTTATTCAGGTGTTCTATCTGTAATAAAGAATAATGGTTATCAGTAAAACTATAATCTTATATATATCTCAAAGTAGCCTGAGAAATCTTGCCCTAACAAGCCCTTACCCAGTTCCTCCAACCTAATATTTGGATAGGATATCTGAATTGGCTTTAGGGCCAGACATGTAATAATGTCGATTTTCAACATGTTTGGGTTGCTAGTTTTTGTAGACATTCTAAGACGAATGTCAAGCAGTTGTGAAATTGTGAAATGACAAAAGACATAGTTCGCGTCATGGACTGTGATAATTTCTACGTATGTACCTCATGAGAACTAATCAAATCGCTGATAGCCTGAGACAGCCAATCAAATCACTGATGGCCTTTAAAAAATGGCAGTGAAAAATTTAATAACTTTCCTTCTTGCCTATCGATTAATAGTTTGCAATAAATAAACCTAATAAATAAACTAGGTGTTGACATTGACTTTAGTGTGGATCTGTAGTTCTATGGGTGAGGTGCAAATTTAGTTGATTTCAACGCACAGTAAGTTCACAATTTGACTTCACTGTGTAGTCACCAGCTACACATCCTAAGGTTCAAAGAAAACGTGGCCTTAGATCACTGTATTACGAATTTAACTAAAATCTAGCCTGTGACACTGTCAGTTTGACATTACTAAATACCATTGGTAAAGCTGGGTTAAGAATTCATTTTATCTATGTATACGACATGCAGAATGTATTGGTTTCCCCCTTTTCAATTTAGTTTCTTCACCAGTGCCGCAGTGGCAGTTCCCCCACCCCCATCCTTTCGTACAATAGTTTCCACCTCTTTTTAATCCCACTAGTGGTTTACATGCCTATTCAGAAAAAGAGCTGATTTATTAAACAATACAAGTACAGTCAGTCCTTCAGAGTTTCATGTATCTTTTGTTTCTATTTTATATAAATCTATCTCTTTTATACGTACTCGATCGTTTGTTTTTCTTTTTCTAAACCGGAAATAATAAGTTTTGGTTACAAAATATCACCAAACGGTGCAAGACATTTTGATAAATGAGGTATGCCAGAAAAATAACTTGTACCGTAAGTACAATATTACAATGAGAATAACTTTATGCCGCTTAAATCACAGACAAATTTAGAAGTTGATTCACGAATAATTATTGAGATATCTTGCATTTGATTTTATACTATTGTGCTTATCTAAAATCCAAAAGGATTTCATTTTCTTATTTTCATAATGAACTTATATTCTTATCTCTTTTTAAAGTTTATTTTACTTTGGTCTTTGATGTGAGCGACTTGAAGGGGAGATAACTCGATCCACACGTGTTGTTGTTGACATTTTCACAGTGTCAACAATCATCATGTCAAATTTGATCCAACAATTAAAGTTTTCTAGTTCTTGTAGACTTCTATCATGTCTGCACAAAACGAGAGTATTGTCGTCTGTATATATTTGTCGAGAATACTCTTATGATCCATCACCTGAACACAAAAAACTCTACAAAAAGTTAAAATACTCTAAAATTCATCAAAAAACGAAACTTAGAAATGCCAAAATAATTGAAGATCAAGGGTCAAATGATGAAGTGCCTTTAATTGTGAAATTAATGCTAGCTAAAAGTGAATCAAAGGAACAAAAAGAAAATGAAACTGTCAATGTCTTAAAGGAAAAGGTAATATTTACGACTGCAGAATTGAAATCTCATCTTGAAGAAATAAAAAATGACTTTCGTAGCAGTATTTTAAAATCAGAAGTATTGGCAAATGCTGAAGTTCCTGATGAGGACATTCCAGAAGAAATGTCCAAAGTTTTGCCAAATAGTGACAGTGAATATCTGGAATCTGTGTTTCTTGATGAGGACAAATTGTCAACAGAACAAAAACAACCTTCAGATAGAAGCCAAGAGATACTGGGCACTCCAATACCAGGAACAGGCTTCAGTAATGTTCCATGTTCTGGATGTGGTGCCATTTTACACTGTGAAGACTCTACTCTTCCTGGCTACATGAAAGGAGAGAAGTTTACTCTGAAAACTAGAGACGAGCTTTATGAATCTGTTTGTCAAAGATGCCATTTAATAAACAATAATAATTTATGTCTAAATGTTAAAGTTGGTGCTGAAGAATATAAAGACATTATATCTGTGATAAAAGAATCCAGGTCATTGTTGATTGTTATGGTGGATTTACTAGATATAGAGAACAGTATATTTCCAAATTTGTTAGAATCTGTTGGAAAGCAAAAGAAACTTTTTATCGTTGGAAATAAAGTGGATTTGATTCCGAAAGACTGTCCATATTATCTGAGGAATGTAGAAGATAGTTTGAGACAAGCTTGTGTTCGGGCTGGATTAGATGACTATAGTAATATTAAACACATTTCTCTAATTAGTGCAAAGACAGGCTATGGTGTAGAAAACTTAATTACTAAATTAATAGATTATTGGGGTATAAGAGGTATAAAAAAAACCTTTCTTAATTTTTTATTGCAATAATATTTTCATTTTCAGATAATGTTTATTATTTGCCTTTTCAGATAATGTTTATTATTTTCATTTTCAGATAATGTTTATTATTTTCATTTTCAGATAATGTTTATTATTTTCATTTTCAGATAATGTTTATTATTTTCATTTTCAGATAATGTTTATTATTTGTATTTTCAGATAATGTTCATTATTTTCATTTTCAAATTATGTTTATTATTTGTATTTTCAGATAATGTTCATTATTTTCATTTTCAGATAATGTTTATTCTTTTCATTTTCAGATAATGTTTATTTACTTGGGAGTACAAATACTGGAAAATCAACATTATTTAATATTTTCTTAGCATCTGATTATTGTAAGTCAAGAATTCGAGATCACATAAAAAGAGCAACAACATCTGTTTGGTCAGGTTAGTTTCATTTATAACTTATAGAGTAACTGTTATAGTGAGTTTTGTTGTTTGTTAAAAAGATACTACCGGTACCACTTAGAATGGACATAAAATTTAAAGTCTCAAACTTGATATATATATAGTGTATATATTAATGAGTTGGACTAACCAGGTGTCATGACTAAAGAATAGAATCTCTATGTAACACAATATATCCATTAAACTTAAGAATTACACGCTTCTAAGCATTCTTATTTTAATGATTTATCACTAGTTTTTATGTACTTATTAAAGAGTTTAGTCTTTTTTAGCCCTGCTATATCTTATATCTTGGATCTTGCATGGACAAAATTCAGAGGACCTTTGTCATTTCAGGCACAACGTTAAATCTATTGAAGTTTCCTATTATTAATCCTGAACCACACAGAGTTTTTAAAAGAAGAGAAAGGCTTTCGAGAGAAAAACAGAATGAAATGGAAACCAAATTGCGAAGAGAAAAACTGAAATTCACTGAAAAATTAGATTATTCAGACACAGTTTTAAAAGGTAGGCCATATACAGTCAATATTTGTTTGTAAAAACTGAAATTTAATTAAAATAAAAATATATAAATTATTTAAATATCGTAAAAATCAGGAGAAAACTTTCCAAATATTGAATGGTGTTTTTTTGAATAATTTGAAACACAGCCATTCAAAATAATAGAAATAGAAAAAGTGTCTCTGATGCATTAAGCAACAAAACAGGTTTGCCATTTTCTTGACAATCCTACCTTAGTGTCAGAAACAAGAATTTTTTAGCTGAGCCAATCAGTAATAGTCTTCATAGCTCACTATCCAGTGATTGATTTTCCATTAAGTTGTGGCTATATATTGTACCCACAATTGCTAAATGCCATTTTAAAGACTTTAAACGTAACTTAAGTCTCAGAAATGGGATTTTTTTTAGCTAACCCAATCAGTAATAGTGTTCATAGCCCACCACTGAACTTTGAGCCTTCAAATCCATGTATGTCCAGAATTATCCACATTTGAAAGTCAAAAAGACGTCTTTTCTTGAGACACTGCAATATATAGAAAAGACGTCTATAGCAATAGGAAAAAAAATTCCTAGTTTGAGATATTTTTGAGGGAATTCTGCGAGTTTTCGTACATTTCTAGTACTTCTGAATACTATTTACATACAACTGCTACCTTATACAAATTGTATTTCAGGTAATATACAGACAACAGACTTCCGAGTGATAAATCCAGAAGAAGAAAGCGATGTAGAAGAAAGTGGACAAGAATTGATCAGTTTTAAGGGGAGCAATACTGGAGAAATAGAAGCTCAAGTGTCTGAAATCAATGAAAAAGATGGAAAGCCATCTTTAAGTTCCTTTTATGAACATCAGTTTGTTAATGTTAGATGGTTATATGATACACCAGGTGTCATTAAGTCAGAACAGGTACATTCTATTTACTGTAGTTTATTAAAGTTGGGTTGTCTGCTGTTAACTTTTTTAATAAATGCCTACTGATTTCTAATGGATGCATATTTATGGCATGGCATCCATTGCGTCTGATTTGCTGATTTTGAAAATGTACCGTAGGTAGCCATATTGGAATTTGGTTAGTTACTTTGTGGTAGACTCATTTTTCCAGACACTTTTGGCTTTTTTTAATTCTAGATAGTCAATATGTTAAAAGATGATGAAGTATTAACTATAACACCTAAGAAAAGATTAACACCCAGAGTGTTCATATTAGATCCAGGTCAAGTGATGTTCATATCAGGTTTAAGTAGATTGGATTATTTACAGGTCAGTGTACTTATACGATTACTTATATTTTTGTTGTCTGTAATGTCTAGCCACACAACCTTGGTCTTACCCAAAACCTTAAACACGACACTGTCGTTTTATATGAGAATTGATCCAGACTATTTTTAGGTTGGGTCTAGATGAAAAATCTTGGGTCAAGATGGAGCTACTAATTGTTGATATCAGGTGTTTATCATGTTCTGGTAGGTCCAGAGTGTTGGTTGGGTTTGTTAAGGTCGTGTCTATCAAAAGATCTTACTATCAAACTTTAACAATGTTCTAAGATTTACATGTTAAAAATTAGACTACTGTCTGACTACATTGAGTTTTGAATTGATTTTTTTCTCTCATTTCATGAATATTCAAAATAAAATTTTAAACTGTATAACATTTGTCATAAAATGTCTTTGGGTCCATAGAAATATAAGGTTTTACACTTCTCTACCCGAAAATTCTCTGTAGATCAAATACAAATGTAATTGCTTTTCCAGTGGTTAATATTTTCACCAACACAATCTAAAACTTTCAGTGGTAATTTTATATGAAAATGATCGCCAAAATTCAATTCAGAAACCAGTATAGTCTAAGAGTAACTATATATTCATCATAAGAATTTTTCAAATGCAATGTGTATTTTTTTTACTTTATAGGGAGAAACTTCCATCTTTGTAACAGTTTTTACCAATTATAAATTACCAGTATTTACCAAGAACCTTCAATCTGCTGAGAAATTTTATAACAGACAAATAAAGTTTGATACATTAAGGGTGAGTTTTTGTTTGGTTTTTAATATCGCCTCATTATTTTAACATTGCCATCTTCTGTCTACATCTGTCAATATTACACATACAATAATGAAATATTTTCACTATTAAAAGAGTGTTCAATACACCAATTGTAGAGTGATATAAAAATATAAAAACAGAACCTGAAACATGTTGTTGTATACTCAGTTTCATGCTGTACGATTTTCAGACAACTGACCTACAGAAATTTGACAAGTAGCATTTTTTTCATGTGTCCACTTTGCAACTTGATTTAGCTATATATTTTAGTAAGATCTTGGATGAATGTAACTTTTTCAATGAAAAATTTCTTGTGATTTGTCTTTGACTTTTGAATGAAAAAGACGAGGCTAAGGTTTGAGGGACTTGTTTCTCAAAAAGGTTGGAAAAATTAAAACAAATGAAAGACTGACAGGGATTTTAGTTGATTATTCAGTTAATTTTATTTGGTCTGATGTTTTAAGTTGTTTTGATAGATTTACTTCCCTTTATAATGTTTCAACTTACCAGACGGTATTGTTTCAGACATTTCAATCCGATTGTAATATAGATCTAAATGTTATATACAAATAAAACCTTACTTTATGTCATTATAGTGAGACTTTAAACCAAAAACTGTCCAAAATTGTCATGTGACATAAAATTTTGAACTGAAAGTTGTCATAATTAAAGGGATTGTAAAGAGTTTTTCTAAATTTTGTATATGTATCTGGGACACTGATAGCATCAATTTGCAAAATTCCAATTTTTAATCAGACGTCTGTGGTTCCTGCAATTTCACTAAAACTAAGTGTTTGATGACGTCACCCCCGCAAAACACTTAGTTTTAGTGGAATTGCTAGAACCACAGATGTCTGATTGAAAATTGGAATGGTGCAAAATGTTGCTATCAGTGTCTTTGTAACGCATAAAAAATTTCACTGAATTTTTCTAAATTTTGTATATGTATCGGGGAAACTGATAGCATCAATTTGCAAACTTCCAATTTTCAATCAGACATCTGTGATTCCTGCAATTTCTCTAAAACTGAGTGTCTGATGATGTTACTAATAAAATATTTAGAAAACTTCTTTACAATCCCTGTCAATCTTTTCTGCAAGGTCTATTCTATAGAAACCTTGAACCAACATTATCCGCTAGATACTCAATATGCATTTATTTCTGTCCTTGTGGCGATTCTTTTCGATTTTATAACATATTCACAAATAGTCCATTAAAAATAGATCAATAATATACTGATACAAATCTCAAGTACTCTAGAGAACCAGGTATCTTTTAATTCATAATCATAATGTTTTGTTGCTAGGCTATCAATTTTCTGTATTATCAAACCATTTATTTGAGTAGGTTTTTTTTTTAATCACTTGCATCAATTTTCTACAACGTTTAGGTTTGATAACTTAGTAATTTTCCACATTAGACTGCTGAGATCTTAACTTAGTATAAAACTAGGTGTCTACCAGTTTGATATTCCCAAAATATTGAGAAGCAGTGGTCTGTGAAATGTTAGGGATTTTAAAGAGGTTTTCTAAAATTTTTTTTTTTTACATTGATAGCATCAATTTACATCAATTAAATTTTCAATAAGACGTCCATGGTTCCTGCAATTCCACTAAAACTATGTGTATGATGATGTCACTAATCGCCTTATGTGATAAAGCATATTTCTTGATTAGTGACGTCATCAAACAATTTTTTTATGGGGAATGACAGACACCACAGACATCTGATTGAAAATTGTAATGATGTTAATTGATGCTATCAGTGTCCCCAATACACATGTAAAATTTAGAAAACTTCTTTACAATCCATTAAACAATTTAATATTAGCTTCAGATATCTTTTTTTTGTCAAAGAGTAATGAATACAAAACTGAAGCATGTGAAACATTTAGACCTGATCTAGATTTGATTCCATTAATAATTCATACCTTTCATATGAAAAGGTTTTAAAGGGGCATTCTGCTTTTTTTGTAGGTCAAAAAATAAGTTATTATAACTTTACACTAAAATCTAGAGAAACGTGTCCCTTAAAAATCTTGAATATTTACCATCTGCATGCCGTGGTGGGTGTATATGGCCGTGGTCCACTATCTTTGTCACAGAGAAATGAATAAAAAAAACTGAATCATGAGAAGCATTTGGACCTTTATTTTTGTCAAAAAATTGGACGTATATTGTTGGCACCCCCTTCGGTCCGTCCGTCCGTCAACATTTGCTTGTAAACGCTGTAAAAACTAGATTTTTTGATGGAATCAAATGAAATTCGGTATGTGTATACATATTCATAAAACGAAGATCAAGTTCGAATTTGATCTATTTTCAACCATTAGAAGCAGAGTTATTGCCCTTGCCCCAAAATCTTGAATATTTACCATCCGCATGCCGTGGTGGGCGTATATGGCGGTGGTTAATTAACACTTTTAAAACAAACTCAGTTTGATCAAGTATATACATAGATATTCATTAGCATACTTTAGAAATATTATCAGGTATAATTTACAATGTTTTTGGTAATAAAAACTTTGCAAACTTCATACCTTTGAAAAGTTTTTGAAGTGCTCTCAGACAGATGGTTTTATAACCAGTGTGTGGAGATCAAGATTAAAAATCAATACACCTGATCAATTATAAATTGGTAATAGATACACAAAAATCAATGATGCAATTTACGCTCTTCAGTAAAACAGAAATGAAAATCAAATTTACTCATTCGGTGCCATGACAACCACAGAATACTCTATGTCACTTGAACACAGCAACACTATTCAGACAGTAATTAAAGAAGCTACTAAATAATAGATCCGATCTGACTAACATTGGTTTCTATTGGGATAGTCAGTGAGAAGAAAAATCAACTATTAGTGCAGTCAGGGTTATCAAAGGCATCCTCAATCAATATCTATTATTAAAATAGTTCAAAAGTTCAGTGACCAATGTCATATACTGTCATCATAAACCTTACATTACCAAGTTACATATATCTTAAAACCTCAGTTTGGGCTTCTTTCTTGCTTTTTCCAGAATTTGAATGTTTAATATGCACCTTTCTGTCTTAATTCGTACATAATTGTAAATATTAACCATTGTAATAATCCTTAAAGGGATTGTAAAGAGGTTTCTAAATTTTGTATATGTATCAGGGACAATGATAGCATCAAATTGCACTATACCAATTTTCATTTAGACGTCTGTGATAACTGTAATTCCACTAAAACTAAGTGTTTGATAACTTCACTAATCAAAAAAATGACGCTTTGTTTTAGTGGAATTGCAGGAACAACAAACGTCTGCTTGGAAATTGGAATAGTGCAATCTGATGCTATCAGTGTCCCCAAAACACACAAAGATTTATAAAACCTCTTTACAATCCATTTAAGTGTAAAAAAAAAAAAAAAAAAAAAAAAAAAATTATCTCTCCTTTGGAAAGAACAGGACACACAGAAATGATATTTGCCATGGCCTATCAGGCATTAGAGTTCAATTTCAACTCTCTGTCTGTAGTCATTTTCATAAATGAAATCTTTTCTGTTTGTCTACAATTAAATGCAGTTGAGAAATTGTCATAGTCTTAAAGTCTGTTGATATTACCAACTTCAATGTGAGACTGCTATCAATATATAAATATTTGATTTTGATACTGAAAAGTGATACAGATGGATGTAACAAGAGAGCTTGACTCTCACCTGTCAAATAAAAGAATAACAGAATTGGACATGGTCAAACTTTAAATACAGTAGTATTATGATTTTGTATGTGTTTCAATCCTATATTTTAGGTACCATTAGAAGAAGGACACCATTTACCACCATTAGAAGGTCAGACATTTGATATTATTGGTGAAGGTAGTAGATATTCTACAGCAGATATTCAACTCTCTTCATTAGGTAGATATATTTTCACCTTAAACAGCATGATAGAGCACTTTTCATGCAACACTATTCAAGAAAAGAAGACCATGACAATGGCATTTTGTACCTCTATTGTTTTCTGATGTGTCTGTGTAGAAGAGCAATGCTGCCTGTGCTTCCAGGAAAAGTTTATCGTGTCTCTGACAGGATTTTAAACATCAAACCATTTGGATATTTGTCGCTGATTGCTTTCTTCGTTTGACCCTACTCCACAGAGCATCATCATCCAATCAGATTCTTTTCCACTTCAATTGTCTGATCATTTCCTGTTTATCGATTCAGCAGAAAATCACTGACTGGAGGTGTTTGTCTCCTGGTGACCTCCAACGGGTTGATGAAACTCTTGACAAGACTTTAGTCTGCGACAAAAATCACGGACCAAAACCGTTCGTGTGAAGTAGGCCAATGCAAGACCATAGACTGCTTTGTTTGTGTGTTTTGGAGGAATAGGTCATTACCATAGTGAAGAGAATATTTTACGTTTCTGGGTTAAGGGTTTAGTTTTCTTGGTGTGGAGGGACTGGTCATTATGTTAATGATGAGAATATCAGCTTTCTAAGTTAAGCATTACAGCATCTTTTATTTAATGAACTGCTAACATTGGGCGCAAATTTTTGCAATTTTCCTTTTCCCTTTTTTGGCAACAAAATTCAAAGAAATGTTTGTTATTGTTTCGCCTTATTTGTCAGAAAAGTTTGATAATTACTGTTAAATATCACAGTAAAGTTAGTTTATTGCTTTCTTTTATTTATTTAGGGTGGATTTCTATAGCTATTCAGAGAAACAAGATTATCACATTAAAAGCCTACACACCAGGAGGAAATGGTTGTCATGTTCGTCAGCCATCTTTGTTGCCCAATTATAGAAGTTTTCAAGGTGATAGAATATATAAAACTAACAAATATAAATATAGATTTCCTGATTATGAAAAGCAATAAACAAATTATTTGAAATAGAATTATAGTTTATTTTATTATCCCACATGGAAATGTTGTCTGAGATTAGAATCGACAGCCACCATTTGTTGATGATACCAACCAACTGAAGTCATGTCCAGAACTGACTTTAACCAATTGTGCTACAGAACCCCACAAAGAGTAGGTTAATGCTGCTGACCTGGCAAAATTTCCCTCATGGCACACTCATTGGTGTTGCCCTTCCTCATTAACCCACAGAGATGCATTTTCCACTTTGTTGCCTTAGAGAGAAAATAAAGAAAGAAAATTAATAAAATCATCAAATTTTAATAAGATTGACTAAAGCGTGACAATATTGGATTGGACTCATTTCATATGAATGCCTTTTGATGGCTCTGTGACTATTTTTTATTGTCACATGCTATAGTTGAGGACCCTTTCAGACTCTAGTGGAAAGCTTTCACAAAGAAGGTTTCTCCCCCATTAAGTAATTAGGCCATTGAGTAATTTTAATTGGATCGACATCAAACCGAACTTTATTTCAGGGACTGGGTTTGTACTTTCTACTTTTAACATGAAAATATTTCAACACATCATGATTGTGTTTCTGCCATTCAATGGAAAGGTTCGTTGATTAGGGCTATAAAACGGTTGTTTTAAGAGACATTTTGTACCTTAGGTACATGTGGGTCGGGGATCGCAGTGCAATAAACCATTGTATTTTTTTGATGATTGGGGGATAAATTGTGTGTTCATAATAAGAATTCAAGTCATGCGTGTATTAAAATAATTATTTTTGGTTGAAACATTTTGAATACCGTATTTTTTTAGAAGTGGTCAAGACTAAATCTTTGCCAAAGACACAGATTTATCATGAAAAATGTGGGTGTCTTTTTTTGTTTAAAAACATTTCTGAGATCGCCCGAATTTGTAAGCTAGTTATGAGATTTTATTTTTGCCCGAAAAACTTGCTTTCGGGGCTGCGAGGGAGGGGGGGGGGGGGGGGG